GACAACTGCATTCGTAAGAATATACTTAATGGTTAATATTGTTTAAAAATACTAATGGCGAACCCAAGTAACTATAGGCTATAGGTTTGGTAGTATTGTATTAATGTATAATATTGCCCAGTTATACTGCAATTTAAATTAATGCRTAATAAATAATATGTAATATGTAGCGGGGTACCTTAGTTGCGTCCCGTCAAAAAAGTATAGATGATACACGAATGATTGCATTCCACTATATTGATTAGGTAATAGGYACTAGAATTTTTATTTCTTTTTCAGCGGTTCTCCGTGTTGTATTAATTATAATATATAAGGGAGCCCGGGYACTGATATTAATGTATTATATTAAGTAYATAATATTGACTATTATAACCGAACATTAATCCGCAAAACTCTAATTTAAAATTAGCTCTATCAAAATTCCTACCTATCCGATTKAACCTCCATAATTAATTCTTTTCTTTCCGCTATAAKAACAACCAATTAACTATGATTATGATATTTACATTTAATATTATTTCTGTTACTATATACACTAATATTCCGTTCTGTTTACTYTTATCTGACATCATTATTTTATTTATCATTATATCATATTATGCTCATTATTATTAATTACCGATTATTACTTATTGTATCACTGTATCTATCAATATTGTAATTGTTGAACTATAATAGTTATACTGAAAGTTCTTGATAAAAAAAAAAAAAATTGACTATTATATTATACCGGCATATATAATATAATCAAAATGCATCATGCTATTACTCAACGATATTTGAACTTAGAAAGTTGGTTCAAATACTTAAATTTATGAAAAAAATAAGTGGGAAAGTGAGTATTGTGGATCCGTACAGACCGTAGATACAGTAACTGATAACTAATTTAGTGAGTCACTGTAATGGATATGTTAAATTTAGATTTAATGATATACAAAAGCGATTCTGAGCGGAGACTGCTCTTAACCCAATATTACTAAGTATATTTTMTCATTTTAGTCAGCCTAGGATATTTTAAGTGAAATTTATATTGCCATTAATAATTAATTTTACTATACAGGGTGATTCTTTTATCAAACAACACTTATATTATGTTTGTGTGTAAATACCACCTAACATACACCTATAACACACAAACATCACCCAAAACCACCCAACTTTGGGAGGCTATATCTTGTAAACGGATTGACGAAAAATGAAAATTTAAACGTRAAAATTCATTGAAAAAATAGCCTTTTTAGTTTATCAAATTTTAAGTATAGGTTGTCATTTGAAAATCAAAAGTTGATAATGGTTAACCTGATAAATATAAGGGTGAAAATATTTAAAAGATATATAGTTCTAGAGCAAGATGGTTCCAAAATTTTGAAAAAATTCAATAGTTTTTGAAATAATGAGTGTTGTTTGATAAAAGAATCACCCTGTGTATAATATAATAATTAATAATGTTCATGTTTAATTTTTTTGATCCAGTATGAATTAATGATGAAAAATATTTATTAATTTTTCAAACCTTAGGTATAAAAATTTAAAATTATATGTACATTTTTATTACAAAATAATTTGTAAATTTTGGTGAATTTTTCGTATTCTGTCAGTATTTGAACTTCAAATGCATATAAAAAAAAAAAACTTGCGCATATTATAYAATCTTTAATATTTTTGAATAACTATATTTACATTTATATTTTAGTAAAAACAACAATAAATTAATTTTTTTAAATATCTGTTTAAAATTTGTTTTAGGTATATTTAAAAAAATAATAAAACATCATCTATTATTTTCATCTATTACTATCTTAATTTATCCTAATAATCATGAATGTAGGCAACTAAAATCACATAGCACCATATACTAGATATAGTAGATAATATTAGTCAATGAGAAATAATATGATAATTTGTATCATGAGTCTTGAGTATACAAGTCATATTTATTAGTGACCCCCCGGGGTCCAACGACGTTATGTTGTATGTTAACTTAAGGTACAGTTTAAAAAAAATATGTAAGCTGTTTATTTGGTTATCTCTTGATCGATTTATTAAAATTTCATTTAAAAATTCTTATTGCATTTTTTATAATATGAATTACACGAAAGTATAAAATTAAAATAAATAATTTAAAAAGACCATTTTCAAGAACCATCAATTAAACTTTTTATTTTTACTGAATAATTTAATGTTTATTTAAATTTCATTATAAACARCTAAACAAATAGGTTGTTTTAGTTTTGTTCAAATATTTTGGTCTATGATTTATGGACAATTTTTAATTTGGCATATGCATTATAGTATTATAATTTATGTATAGTATGTATACATTTTTGTACTGCAGTTACTTACATACTGCACAAGTACCACCTTTATTCATATTATGTTTTTATTTTGGTTTCAGTACCGACAGTACCTATCAAAATTAATCATAATTTCCAGATATACTGCAACTTATTATTAAAATTTAAAATATTTTAAACAACAACTTGAATATATTAACAACTAGTTAGATAAAATTGACTATGATGTTATTTTTGTGAAAAAAATATGGAATTATCTGTATCTTTAATAGTATTTTGTATTCGTATAAGCAAAACACATATACGTACTTAATGTAGAATTTATAATGAAAATTCCGATGATAATCAACTAACAGTTTATGAAAAATTTGTATGCAAACATCTTGTTTTGTACATCATTTTGTAACTGATGTGTGAAATTAATTTTTGTATAGGGTTTGCACTGGTATACCAGTATTAAATACTGTTCGATAAATAGAGCATTATGCTTTCAAAAAATTAAACATATTTTAGGTATAGGTAGTTAGTACTTCAATAGACAAAATAAAATTGAAACTTTTTGTAGATAAGTACAGACTCTATAAATCCATTTTTTTTCTAATAACCAGTTATTTCCAACACTTCACGTAATTCAACATCCGACAAAATTAAGGAGGTAAAAATAGGTACTTAATAGGTSTTAATAGGTACTTTTAATATATAGGTCTTAAAAGGTTCTTAATAGGTACTTTAAAAAATAACAGGGAAATACAAAAAACAATATTACGTAAGATTAATAAAAATTATAAATATAATGGGAATACTACTATTGTACTAAATATTATAATAATTAATATCCTAAAAATGTAATGTTTTTGCAACTCTATATATTAATTCTACAGCAATACTAATTTCAAATTCAGTAATTCATAAAATAAATCTATTTTACTTGATAATTACTTCTGTGTTATACACATATAGTTAACTATTTAAAAATAATTAATTTTACTAATCTAGTAATTGATAAGAGCGATGCGAAAACAAGAAATATGCTATAATATATATATTCACATTAAGACATACCTAYTATAGTACTATAGGTACTCCAGTCTTTATTATATAGTATAAATATAGCTAAATTAATGATTATCTATCAATATTTCTATTTTATTAAAATGTTATATAGGTATTTTAGTAAAATAATTTTACTAAAATATATGCATGTTTCTTTAGTTGTACCTAGGTAACGTTCTATGTTAACTATTTTATTAGTATACATTATAATATCTAAGATAAAAAAATGCATTCAAATAATTGCGATCATCGATCGCTTTCACATTAAACACTACTCACATGTCTATTGCGTTTTGTCAGTTCTGCCTTCGTTAGTCGCCAACCTCTATAGACCCATTATACTATTATCATATTATACTAAGTCATATATTATCTTATTCGTATATCGGCATTCTTTTGCGAATATTTATTATTTATATCTATCTATTTTTAATAAAACCTTTGTCAATATTGAGGCCACTCGTCTTTCTAAACTATTTTCTCACTCAATGTAGGTTTCCTATTGACTTACACAGTTACATACCTACTCTCGCGATATTCTTCCTTCGTGACAAACGTCTATTATATTATTATATATTTATTAGATGATCCAACRAGCCACCGCCATATAAAATGGTCATCTCCGGGAACCAGTAGTGCATGGATTGATTTTGTATATTTTTTTAAGATTTAGAGTGGGGATTAACAGGTTATAACTTCTAATGATTCAACAATTGAGTTGATTTTTTTCCCATCGGCATGTAGCGTATTTGATGTGGACGATATATACAAGCGCTGGTACCGAAAGACAAATTTACCCGCAGTCACATTTTTGCCATCGATAATTGAACGGACGCTGCAAACTGGTGTAATTGCATCGTTAAGTATTGCCTTGCATTCTAAAGACTCCAAATTAATAAATGTACCTATAGATAGTGTGGCATGTTATCTTTGTAGCCACTGTAAGTCTGTAAATGTACCACTAAATGCGCCGACTATTTCGATTGAACAAATGTACATGATCGAAATATTCCTAGAATTAAAATGACATAGGTATAATACGAATATTAATTAAATGTATTTTTTAGGTTGACATTTTGGAGATGCCTGATAAACTAGGCAGAACTGCAATGTTTTATGCGGTGTTATACAATCAAGAAGAAATATTGGAGTATTTTATTGAAAAACAAGCCAATTGTAACGTAATGTTAGTAAATTTTTTTATTGGTAAACGCAAAATACACTGCAGCTTACGTATATATATTATAATACCTATAGACTATGACGATACATCTACACTTTAACATGTTTCGTAGTTAAAAGATTATATACATTGTTTTTATGTAGATACTTTAGTTAGGTAATGATGCTAAATTTATAATAACCAAACATCTGCGTATTGAYTTGAACACCAACACTTATTTGAAATAGCTAAAACTAATATTTTTGAATACACGTTTACACATAATATAATAATATTCCATCTCAAATATTAACAAACTCTCTACATTTTCACCGCCTAATTATGACATTAGGATATACGTTATGTGTATTAACTAACGAAATAAATAAACATGTACTATAACTTATAAGTACTATAGTACTAGATTTATGATACTTTAAGTACTATATAATAATATAGTTACTATAAGTGTTATAAGTACGTACTTAATAAGATGTACGTATGTATACGAATAAGTTATATTGTTAAAAAATGTAGGTATGTTATATTTGAATATTTTTTATCCTATTAACTATTAACTTAGTTACTTATTTCAAAATACTAATTAAATATAGTGAATTATACCATACCGATCAAGAGTTAATTAATCTAAAAGAGAAAACATTAAATAATATATTAAAATAATTAATTATTCTAAATACAGGAATCATAATATATTAACATAACATTATAGAAAATTAATCAGTAAAGAAATAATATATGGGTAATGAGTTTATCATATTATATAAAATAAACCTATATTGATAGGTAAAACTGTCACTATAGTTTATAAACTTCAAACACATCTCTCACATCTCCCACGAGAAATATAAAATATGCTTATAAAAATATAATATATAATTATTATAACTAGATTCTTAGCATAAAAATGGGTTTGTGGCTTGGCGTGGCGCGTTGGCTGCTACCAATCGCGGAATGCGACTGGGAGTAAGTAACRGCCACAGCTACTTGCGAGTTGCGGGCGGATGGATGACCACTACCTGGGTTCATAGTAGTTAAAAATCTTGCCACACATACACATGTTTTTAAACATGCAGAAACTTTTTTTTTTTAGCAATATTTATACTTACTAAACTTAAATTGGAAAGTTAAAATATTTAAGATGTTTTAACTTCTGATATAGACATACAGTTGTATCTAACTATAGTCTATAGCAGCGGTTCTCAACCTGTGCATCATTTAAAGGACACCACGGCTCATCCGAGAATGAAAAAAATTATTAAATTATATATTAAAAATTAAAAATGTATTGTAGTTGAAAAGACAAAAAAATTTTTACGTACAAAATTACTTAGCATACTATCTGTATATCTAATTTTAAATATAGTGTTTCTAATATGCGTCTAATAATTTAATAATAGATAAAAACAGTTAAAACAGATAACAATATTGCCAAACTTTCAAAAATAAGCAGTCTCAAATATCTCATTAATTATTAGTTTTTCACTATTAAAACAGAATTTTTTCTTTTTACTTACAACTATAAAATTATAATTTGTTAATAATATGTTAAACAAAATAAGTTAAATCAGTTACAAATGAAAACTAGTGTTTATTTTATTACGTTCCTCGTGATATTCCCAGAAGGGTAACTAACAAAATTTGTAGAAACAAAAGGACACCACCGGCTAAAAAGGTTGGGAACCGCTGGTCTATAGGTAATAAATAAGTACATAGGTAATCAATAAGCATCATAGTGTACCAATTATTATATTTGTACCTACTTAAACTTAAAAAAAAACATATAACTGACATATAATAAATAAACATTACATCGATAGGAATCAGAAAATCACAAAAAAAACATTAATTATTCCTTGATTTTAAAATTATAGTGATAACTTCGGTAAGACTATGACTATGACAGCTATCTCTAAAGGATTCCGGAGAATAATGACATTGTTGTACGAGTATGGAAATAAACACGAAAAAAACTTGTTGAAATCTACGTCATGGTCAGAAAAAATAGAAAAGTCCAAAAACAATCTTCAAAATGACGAATGTTTAGGTATGTTTCATTTCATATTTTTTATTACAAACACACTATACAGTACAGTGTTTATTCAATAATTCTGAAATTATTTATTATCTTTTATTATTACAGATTATCACGTGGAAAAACTATTAAAACAGTTATCACTTGAAAAATATTGGCCAGTGTTCGACAAACAAAACATCCGATATAATGATTTCTTGAAGTTAACTGAGCAAGACTTAAAAGATATCGGTATAAAGTTAGTACCTATATCATAATTATTCACGATTATAAATTTTAAATAATTATTTTTAATAATTTTTTGGGGATTTCAATTTCAAATTCTTTTCAAATACTTTTTGACAAGTGTACTTTAAGTACTTTCAAAATAGTTTTTCTTTGTATTWTATTTCAGAATAATAAAAACTTTTTTTTACAGTCGTATTTTATCAAACAATATTTTTGCTTCATATATTACAGTATTTTAAATATTGGTTACACAATAATATTTTATACAGCTTCTAGGAACTTTTATGATTTTATTAAATAGACAAATAACACAATACCTAAAATTCATGTGTATACCTTGCTGAAGTTTAAATTGACAATAAAATAGGTGTGTGGCATTTGTAATTATTGAATAAATTAAAGAATGTGTTTATTAATTATTCAATTTAAATATGTATTAATAATTTTAAGTAGTTTTAATATAATTTATGATATTTTCATTTATCACATTTAAAAATTTTAAAGTACTTATTACAAAAATGACTTGTATGTACTTTTAAAATGTATTTGTTGTTATATTCAAATACTACGTCATCAAATACAAATGATATCAATTATTTAAATACGTATTCTGAATACATTTGAAATATATTTTTAACAAGAAAGTAATTACTTAATTTTAAAATTAAAATTATCTACAAACATTGTTAAGTCACTTCAAATTGATTCAAAGTAAACAAATTAAATTACAAATTACAAAACTGAATAGGTAATACATTTGAATTCTATGATTTACTTACTTACCTATTTTTGTGTACCTACTGAAATTTTCTTATTAAAATCTAAAATTAAAATTATATTACTATTAATATAAATAATAACTTGAACCAAAATAATCAAAGTAGGTACCTAATATTAAACTATGAAACATTCATATAAGAAACATAACGTTTTTATGTGCTTATGTAGAATACGCACGTGATAACTGATAATACAAATTGGATATGATCTATTTTTTTAGTTTATTTGGTCCGAGAAGAAAATTAATAATGACTATTGACAAATTAAATGAATTAAGATCATCACAAGAACACTCTAGGAGTTGAAAACTGTATAGACTTTTTATTTTATATTAACCTTTATTATACTGATGTACCTATTATTATCCTTTTTATCTATGTTTATCTTTGATTTAAGATTTTATTTGTACTTTTTTTATTAATTAACATAACTTTAACACTATTTATACTTACTTTTTTTTATTTTTAAATATTATAATTTATAACTTTTAAATATAATTTTACATGATAATATTTTAAATTTTGATTTAGGTATGTGAAGATTATATTAGTTTCTCTCGATAATATTTTTTTTTTTATTGTTTATTTTATTTAAGTCTTAAATTCTTGCAAACAATAGCCAAGTACATTTACATAATAATAAACTATGTTCGTTATAAAAAAAAAAGAATTATGTTTTTTTTTAGTCAAGATAATATGTAAGACTTTAAGAGGGTCAGAAAGTTTCACAAACGAACTAAAAGTTGTACGATACCATATACCTATTGTATACAATTTGTACATGAGTAAATGAGTTGTTACTCTATCCACATTTCGACGTAGYGAGAATAGTTCTTTCAATGATTGTTTGGAGGAAGCTTCTGCAGTGTGCATTTCTCGCGTTCTGTGACTTAGTAAAAGGTGACCGGGCGATTTCAGTTTCTGACGTTTCTGTAGTGAAAATCATATCCGAATAAAGCCAACTCCAAAACGAGAAATATTTTGATTATCCCCTTTAAAACATGGCTATAAGCTGTGGGTAAGMTTAATATTCTTCYAGATCTTCTAGCCATAATTTGTCACATTATAAAACTTGTGTGAGGAATGAGAAGGTAGATCCATCCTCTTCTGTCAAAAGGGTGAAGAGGCGAACGGCCAGGCGACAGAAGAATTATAAGATTAATAAGGCTCRCCGCTTTGTCCCTAATAATAATTGGGGCCCTTAGGACCAGAGGCAGATTTTCAAATTTTTTTCAAGCGGGAGTGGGAGGGGTCGAAAAAAATAAATGTATTTCAAATTTTATTTTCATTTTTTTCAAAGAATTGGCTGTATTTTTTTAAATATATATATATATCGGTGTATGGTGGGGGGGGGGGTGTCTAGTTCCCCAGCCACTCACATTAATCTGCTACTGATATATGCTATATATAATAGTACAGAGTACTGCTATAGCTTAGGTACTGGGTATAGTGGATATAATTATTTTCCACGGTACCATCATGAGATCTACTATAAGGAACGTGTTACTAATTTCRTTTTAAAATTTTCCTTCCCAATCAGGAAAATGTAGTCATACGGATACGACCACTACAAGTTTAAGGGTGTTACACAATATTTCCCAATCTTACCTCTGCGATGGAAGATTTTCGCTTATTATATCGTAACGATCGGAAGCCGGCGGGCATATACAAATAATTAAACAATAGTTTTGAAGTACCTATAATAGTTTAAGCTATCTAATGTCAAAGACATACAAATTTGACGGTTAAACTAAAATAGCATAGCCTAAAAAAATGTATTTGATAAATGATTAAGGATTAGTTAAAGGTTTAATTATTAAGGTTCCATTTATTCAATAACCTACCCGTCAATAAATTGGAAAAACTATCTAAATTATATATAATATGTAATATTGTACTTATAAAATATACCTTCAAATTGAATGTATTCATCACAAAACATAGTGAGTGACACTCACTGAGTGTGAAACATATTAAAATCAGAATTTAAAAAAAAAATTTTTTTTTATTAAAATTAAATCTGTTGAAAAGGATATTTTTGTAGAATACCTAATTAATATAAGAAAAATTGTCATAACAATAATTACAAGTATATTTTATAGTTTACACTCCCGCAATGTATAAAACCTTAATGACATTTAGTTGGTAGGTATATCTACTCAGACATCGCACATAAAAAGAAATTTATGGAACAAATTCCTTTTAAAACTTTTACGAATTTTTTTTCAAGTAAACAAAATACTTTTATCCATGAAAATTAACTATCTAACATTTTACTTGCTTTAAGCTTAACTATTATTTTAATAAAATAAGTTCCAGTGTCAGAGTTGAAGAAAATACATACAATATATTATATACCTAWGAGGGTTAAATCACTGACACAAATTGTGTAGGGGAAGAAAAGGCATGCTATAAGATTTTAGACGTGTTCTTTCAGTTCTTTGCCAAATATACTGATTGATCTAACGAAGCGATAATAATTCTAAAAACCAATTTTAATTTATCGTCAAGGCTACTCGAGGTCAACTTTCCCAAATTTTTGATATTATAATCATCCAAATTCCTAAAAACGTAGTAATATTAAAAATGAGCAATTAATAAATTGTCATATTCCAATTTTTGTTGGAAGTTGAGATCAAAAAAATAAAGAAATGTGGGAAAGTCAATATCAARGAAGACAATTCCGATCCGTTTTAAGATAGATTCTTATGGCTTCAGTATATGTCGATCGGTACGCCTGACAAAGAACAAGGCTAAAATCCTGTGTCACGGGTGTGTTAGACAAAAACAGAAAATAACGGTATAGGTACWGAATCCTCTTAACAAAAAAAAAACATATTTTTGAAAGTATTCAAAACTATAATAGTACGGTAAAGCCGTATAAGTGTTTAAGTCTACCATGGTTWTGCAAAACCCGGTTGGGTGAGTTGAGTGAGTTTTTGATGAGTGCAGACCTAAGCTATTGCTCACATACAAACCACAGGGACAAAAATGATTTAATCAAACGTGTAACTTTACAAATTACCTAAACTACGCCTTCACTTAGAGGACCAGAATAGATACCCTTAGGCCTTAGTACCAAATAGTTTCAGGTATAGATATCATCAATGGATATTCAAAAATGAATTTACGGAAATAATTATTGTTATTAGTTTTTATGTTATAGCCACAGATATAAATAATATACTTTATTAATTTACAATCTTTATCTGTGATTATAGCCTTATGAACTTTCTAAGCGCCTAAAAACCGGATCGGAACACTTGCTCGCCCGAACAGCTTAAAAACTAAAATATATCGTTTGATTTGCTATCTATGCAACACTTACCTATCCTACTTTAAGAAGGTATACACTATAACACTAACTCAAAAATCACAAATACAAAATTTGACCTCTCAGTCCTGCTGATTTGCATCATCATTTTCAGCAAAAAAAGTACATTCGTTTGATTAAAAAAAAAATTGGGAAAACTATGTGGGCGCTTGTTATTTAAATTGTAAAATAGAAGTAGATTCAACCTAATAAAATTACTTTGTAAAATATAGTTTTAAACTATACTACCTACCATTATAATACAATCATGTATGCCGCAGGTTGATGGTGCATCTATTGCAAGTTGCAACTCATAGCCTCCATCGAATCGGAGATTGGCGTTGCCCTCGCATGTATGAGCGAAAAAATATAGTATAATTTTCAAAAAAAAAAATATCGGACGACTATAATTTGTTTGAATCTTTAAAAAAGTATTTGATTTCCAAATACAAATACGTTCAAGTTATTATTTAAAACACTTTCCAAATATTTAAATTTAAAAGTATTTAAATACATTTACTCAAATATTTTGCAAGAAGCAAGACTAATACGTCATGGTTGACGAGCATGTTTCATATACGACAGCGCTATCTAGCTGTAAATGTAATCGGCTGCCGATAAAGGTTCTTTTAGCATGCTTGTAAAAATAGCAGTTGTAGGACGGCGATACGTTAATTCGTTATATTATYATTATACTTTTTATTAACATAGTTTACAGTTACGTATTTTTTTATAAAATGTGTTAACTCACATATTATTGAAATAAACACTGAAATTATTGAGATTTTGGGCTTATGGCTAAGTTTTCAAACAGCACAATCGTATAAATATGAAAAATAAAATAAATCTTTAATGTTCACAAAATTCTGATAAACCTCCATACCTAAATGAAGTTATCTTAAACGAATAGATTTATTCATGGTACTTTTGAGCTGAAAAATGAAAACTAATTTTACCTTTAAGTTTATTATTTACCTTTAAACTTGTCACAACTTYACAAACTGTACATGTAAAACGCCTTTTTTAATTTTCTTTAAAGTACTTATGTACATATTATATTTATATTTATAACAGACAACTTATCCCCCCGCGCTAATTATTTTTATAAAAATTTTTCTCTTTGTTTCAAAATCTATTATTTTTTGTGTTTTTCAAACTTGAATACATTTTTTTTTTTAGTTTTGATATCCAAAAAAAAAAAAATAAAAACGATAATTCACAGCCAAATTTATCTTTTTTATGTGTTGAACATTTTGTTGCTTAGTTATAAGACACTAGTCATCTCAGTTCTTTCTCGGCCAAAACAWTGTTGTACATTTGTAAGACGGAGACAGCACATGTGTGTCTAACATCCTCTTGAAACATACAATCATAATATTTTATTGAATGTCTATTAACTGGTTTATTTATAAATAATATTTAATAAATGTCAGAAATCTTTATTTGATATGATATATTTTACAGATCTTTTAGTTGTAAATTATTCAACCATAAATGAATGCAATTTTATTTTAATGTAATAAGTTCAGTTAAAACAATAGTAGTATAAAATAAATATATTTTAAAGAGAAATATAATGTAAAAGGAATTAAAATTAATTAAATTTTTAATTGGGGAAATGTGAAATCAAGTAATAGGACTGAAAATATTGTTTACTTAATTGTATCTTATATCATAGCATTCAGGAACAAAATTCAACATGAGAATTATAGTAAGTTTATTTTTTATTTGGTTTTTGTTTCTTTTTTTGTCCGTTTTCAACTGGTATGCCTTTTGATATACACAGTTTGGATTTCAATTCAATCAATAAATTGATTTCTGGCTGTAGTTCACTTTTTTCAACTTTTGCTTCTTTTAATTTTCGTACTTTGTCACCCTGTTAATAAATAATTTAAATTTAGTAAGTTAACCAAATGTTAATATTAGTGTTATCTATTTACGATTCAATTTTCAATTTTTCTAAGTTTTTTTTTAAGTGCCTATAAAAAAAGTTTGGCTTTACAAAATATATTTAAAATTTAATACAAGGTTTATTATAAGTT